AAATAAGTTTTATCTGTGTAAAATTCTTCTCTTTATCCCCTCTCTTACTTCTCACCTTTCGTCTCCTCGCCGCGTCCCTACAAATAGAGTGTATCGATTGTCGAAATAATCTTGGCATCATGAATATTATATTTTATCAATAAATGGTTATATCTCTGACTCTAGGTAATGAGAACACTGCAAAAATATGAAATCCACCAAACAGTTCACATTTTGGACACCCAACTTGTATTATTTTTAAAATTCTAAATAAGTGACAATTTTGTCAAACTAATTGTCAGTATATTTTTTAGTCATTGAGATTAAATATACATTAAAATGAGTTATTTTTGTGTAGAATCGATAAATAGTAGCCTTTTTGTATGATCCATTTCAAAAAAATAAATTGTATGAAATTAATTTAATTACGAGTATTAAAACTAAAATCCCAATTGTGGAGGTGAGGATATATACGGCATCTGACATTCACGTCCCTGTTTTTTCTAACGCTTTTTCAGGGAAAAACTACATAACTAAAAACTGACATAACTTTGAAGTAAGATCCATTACCGATGTACGCAATAAAATTCACAATTACCACATAATATTGCATATAAGGAAGTGGCAATACCCATACCACCTATGAACATCTTGCATCGCATGATCAGGGTACGGGACGACGCCCAGAAACCTCCAACCATGGCAAGAGGACAGGGCGAAGACACAAACTAGAAAACATGAAATGTGTTTTAAAATACATTTTAAAACATAGTATATTAAGAGACGGTCCTGTGCTCGGTGCGCAGGTGTTTTGTTATGGACTTCTGTAAACAAATGTCTACGTGACCATAATCGCGTTCACTGAGTTGCATCAGCGCGAAACCACTCAAGGCCAACCAGTTTCTGGCACGAAGACATGTATATATTTTCTTTGAACGGTAAAAAATACCAGATTGTTTTGGACTCCGAAAGAAGTCAGACGGGTCTCAACACAAAACCATCGGCGGCTCCAGGGGGGGCTAAGGGGGCCATGCCCTCCCCCGAGATGAATATTCTTACGATTTATGGGCCTTTTATTCAAAAAAATATGCTAAAAGGGGAATATCTAAAGGCAATGCCCCCCCCCTCCCCCCGAAAATTCGCCCTGAGGCCGCCCTTGCACAAAATTCGATGGCAGTTATTCTTTTGTAAATACATCAGTTCTCTGAACAAAGATACTAAAATGATAATAAATAATAAGTAATGTTAACCCTAAGACAGTGTTAAGCCTCTAGGTGTTTGTAAATAAAGTAGTGTAAATATGTAAAAGTTATCGTACAATAAATTGTTTTTTACGAAGTTGCTGGAATTTCATTATCCGTATGAAAATATTTGCAGCTAGCACCGCAAGGAGACAGTCCACTTGCTAAGCGATGCTTAGGCCCGTATTCATAATTTGTGTTGGGTTCAACTTTTGGTAAACTACAAATCCAACAAAATTTAGATGTCAATTTTAACTTTTTTAACTGTAAATAAATTATTCTGATACTGTCTTCCACACAAGAGACCTGGGTTCAAATTAGGACAAGGGACTAATTGACTAATTAAATTAAATCTTGCTTGATAAATTAGTTAAAGTCATAGATTATTTTAAAATTAGTTATTTTGTCTAAATAACCTAAAATAATTTTTTAAATTTGTAGATTTTCGTTAGTGGGTCGTAGAAAAAATTACTGTACAACTCGAGAGGATTGTCCATATCCACTCTTGTTGCACACTACTATTACGCACTAGTGTGTTTATTTAAAATGAACAAGCAGCAATAGTCATATTTTTTACAAAATGAGAATGTCTTACAATTTATTTTTCTTATTTGTTTGAAACTGACGTTAAAATAATTTTAAATGACACATTTGAGATGAAATAAAATTGCGTTAATTATTTATAAATTTTCAATAGTAAGATGACTTTTATCATTAATTTGGTCAAAAGTTAGACTTTTAAATACTGCATATTTTCAGAAATCAGTCGATTTAATTTTTGGTCCACACATACATATTTTATACTGAAAGTTTGTTTTATGTTATTCCGAAAAAAGAAACCAATACGTTTTAAGTATTCAAAATGTATGCAACACATTTTACAAACTAATTTGGACCTGTTATCTCTGAATCTGACACAGAAATTCGATAAAATTTAAACTCAGTTATGGGGAAGCACTGAATGTTACTTTGGTAATGCCTTATTTATGTAGTATAAAAACATTTTGTTGTGTTGAAAATATCAGCGTATTCAAGTGTTTGTATACATAATTTTTTTTTTTTTTGAAGAAAATGTCCCTACTTTTTATCTTATACAAACCAGAAATTGCAGTGCTGCAGCCAAAAATGCATTTTTTTGAGACGGCTTTTGGAAGATTAAAGAATTTTGTAAATAGTCAGAACTGACCCAAATCAATTTCCCTGGAGTTTTCGATGTCGCTGATCACGAATATGATGTTTAAATTGACCCACAGCCGACCTGGAGCTCAGGAACGCCGATGAACGTCATCTCCGTGGGACACTCCCGAAATTCACGGGGGGAAGGAGATAAACTCGACGCCCGGAGGTTTTTTGGGTCGCTGAATTCAAATATGGCATCGGCGAACACCCTCCGGATACCTGGTGTGCCGGAATTTGGACGTCATACCCGAGAATTTTCCTAACCCAAAAATCATTGTGGGGCGCTGAATCCAAATTTCACGTTGAAAACGACCCCCTGAACGCCTGGTGCACCGGACCTGGACCTCATCTCCGTGAGTTTTCCTCACACAATTGAAAAAGACGAACCGAAAATCGTTATGGGGGTACTGAATTCAAATGTGGCATCGGCGAACACCCCCTGACACCTGGAGTGCCCGAACCTGGACGTCATCCCCGATAATTTTCCCGACAAGATCGCCAAAAACAACTCGAAAATCATTGTAGGGGCGTTTTTTGGGCGCTTAATCCATATTTCACGTCGAAAGCGGGTGAACCGGAACCTGGACCTCATCTCCGTGAGTTTTCCTCACACAAGCGAGAAAGACGAACCGAAATTCGTTATGGGAGGTTTTTTGGGAATCTGAATCCTAATCTCCCGTCGAAAACGACCCCTCCAACATCTGATGCACCGGAACCTGGCCCTGAACATCATCTGCGTGGGACTCTTCCAAAATTCACGCGGGGAAGGAGATAAACTCGGCGCCCAGGGCTTTTTTGGCTTGTTAAATTTAAATGTGGCATCGTCGAACACCTTCCGGATGGTGCGCCGGAACCTAGAAGTTAGTGGGTGGAGCCTGAACTTAGGATAAAGTTTCTGTGTATACTTACACGAAAGCGTTTCGAGCGTTGGTAGAAAAGTGAAAGGCCGCTCGGCAAAGTTCGGAGATCTAGCCGGAGATTATTCTCGTAATTTTTCTCGCTCTATTCAAACCCGGCATTTAGAATTTTACAGGACTGGATCAACTTTTCCGAGTGCCCCAGGCGAGAGTTACACATCAATGAATGTGTGAAATTATGAGACGATTTTCGGTTAGTCTTTTGCGATCGTGTCTGAAAAACCCTCGGAGACGACGTTCAGCCCGAGGTTCCGGTATACCAGGTGTTGGGAGGGTCGTTTTCGACGTGAAATTCGGATTCAGCGCCCCAAAAAATCCCCATAACGATTTTGGGCCCGTCTTCTTCGATTGTGTGTGGAAACCCTTTGGAGACGACGTTCAGGGCCAGATTCCGGTGCACTAGGTGTTCGGGGAATAGCTTTCGAGGTGAAATTTGGATTAAGCGTTCAAAAAACGCCCCTATAATGATTTTCGGGTTGTATTTGCCGATTTTGCCGGAAAAATTCTCGGGGATGACGTCCACTTCAAAGTTTAGGCGCATCAGGTGTCCAGGGGGTGTTCGACGATGTCACATTTGAATTTAGCGCCTCAAAAAACCACCCATAACGATTTTCGGTTCGTCTTTTTTGATTGTGTGAGGAAAACTCACGGAGATGAGGTCCGCGTCCAAGTTCCGGTGGGTGCACCAGGTGTTCAGGGGGTCGTTTTCGACGTGAAATTTGGATTCAGCGCCCTAAAAACGTCTCTACAATGATTTTCGGGTTGTTTTTGGAGATCATGTCAGGAAAAATCACGGGAAAAACCCCCGGGCGCCGAGCTTCTCTCCTTCCTTGCGTAAATTTCGGAAGAATCCTACGGAGATGACTTTCATCGGCGTTCCTGAGCTCCAGGCCGGCTGTGGGTCAATTTGATCAGCTATCTCGAAAACCCCCGTAAACCCGATTTGGGCCAGTTCTGGCTCTTATTTACAAAGTTCTTTAATCTTCCAAAAGCCGTCTTAAAAAATGCATTTTTGGCTGCAGCAATGCAATTTCCGGTTTATACGAGATAAAAGTAGGGACATTTTTTCCAAAAATCTTTTTGGAAGCGAATGCAAAAAACCGCTTTCCGATTCGTCTTAGCCTAAAAAATTCCGAACTTTTTTGCTTCAATGCTTCGACTAAGAAAAGGTTTTTTTTGTGGAATCGCAACACTATGAGTGTTAATACCCCAATCCTCAATTTTAGCCCCCGTCTTGAGGGGAAAACTGTGTCAGGTAATCAAAATGTGACACCTCATATGAGAGCTAATTTTATTAGTAATTCAATTAACCTAAATGTCTCTATATTACACTAAATCAAGCTAGTAAGTAATTTTTATACGAGGGCTTGTTTTATTTATTTGGGTTGTTTTGTTAAAAAATTAAAATCTTGTAATTTCGGTATACTAACCATTTATACTTTAGATTAAATTAAAAAATGATTATTCAAAATTTTAAATTGAATACCTATTGTAATTAAACATTTTTTTTAATGTTGAATAATTCAATATTAGCTACATAAAAAAATTGAAATCGCCTTTTGGTTAGCCAAATCAAGTTAAAAACCAAAAAAATTGCTATTTAATTGATGTCGAGACTCAGGGATACTTGCAGCATACTATGATTTTATAATATTGACAACGATACAAATGAAATAATCCAAAAGGCACTTTTACGTATATTTAATAGCAACAATTTAAACATCTATAATATTAAGACAAATATAAAGCATAATAGGTATTTATATGATAGGCACTAGACAAGTAATATTTTTATTGTTTAGAGTCTAACACAATATAATTTCAATAAGACAGAAAAACTATGGTTTTTATTATAAAATTTCAAATCTATCATAAACAATATTAAAATCACATAACTTTTAAGTTTTCTTTTTACATTCACTGTTTTGTTGTTTTTATACAGAGTCGTCTGAAAATAAAAGAACAAATATTAGATAAGCATCAAACAATTGGAGACAAAAAATTACCATGATACCACCATTTGGTTTTCTTAGGATTTTTATTGCAAGTTTTTACATAAAAAGCATTGTCTGGCGGTCGTTGCTGAAAAGTCAAATCAATATTTTAGTATTTTCTAAGTATTCGAGTGTTAAGATGGGCGACTTACTTTTTCTTTACAGCTACTTAGCATAGACACTATGGATAGGCAAACAGATTGGACTGATAAGGCTGGGGACCAGTCGTCTGTTAAAATAGACAAGCAAATGTGGCCATTACTATATACATGTGGGTGGACTGGAATGTTAGCTCCTACAAACGTTACCTACAACATTAAATATACATTCTTTTTAAGTTTAACAATAATATAATATAATCTACAAATTACAATTATAATATATTATTTTTTTTGGAAATCACGCCTATGGAATAATGAAAACTATTTTTAAACCCCCAAGGTGAAAACAAATTTAACGAAAAATTAAAAAAAAAACTAGAGGGTTTCGAACTTCCTCCTTAAGAATAGATATCAAACCTTACCCTAAAGCAGTTAAAATAGACGGTAAAAGTAAAAGAGAGTCTATCCTTTCAAGGGCTTATCTTAATGTAGAAGAAAAGGAGCGGGAAAATCAAAGGAAAAAGATAAATGCCCAACACAAGATAAAAATGAGCCAAAGAAGAATGTCTACAGACAGCCAATAAATTAATTGGATCAACTAAACTACTCCGATTCATCATCCATGTCATCTAATAACAGCGACTTTTCATCAGATGATAATTCAGACAAAGATGTTTGTGAAGAATTTAAAAATATTACGTTAGTCTTGTAAAATTTAAAGTTTTGAGCAAATGTTAAACATAAAAACCAAAATACGACACGCGTTGAATTTCTAAGACGAAAATAAGCTTTTTACTTTCCTCCCATTGACGACATAACACAAATTTATTTATTTATTTTTACAAACTTCTATAGGAAATTCCCAATTAAAGAACAGGCAAAATATGACAAAACAAAAGAATAAAGATTTAAGAAAGAAAAAACAGACTATTTAAAACGATAAAATAATCACAAAAGCAAATGTTTTCTGTCCAAAATTCTAATGTTAAATATATCCAACTCAGAGTTAATGCTGTTGCAATAACTACACATGACATATAATGGAGATTTGCTTAAAATGTTGGTACGAGGAATGGTCAAGTAAAAAGTATCATTGCACCTAGAAGTTTGGTGGGGAATCCTAAAATTTAACATATGCAGCAGGTCTTTACAATTTATTTTGTTTGTTATGACTTTATGCAGTGTAACCACTGAAAAATGCGCTTTGCTTCAAGACTCGAAAAACTATGTCTTACTAACAGTTCGTTATGTGGGGTGCTAATTGGAGGATACACTTGGTCTTCTCGGAAAATTAAATATTTGAGAAACCGTCTTTGAGCGGATAAACGCATAATAAAGATACTTTAACGTACTTGCATTCTTAAAATCCCGAGAGTTCCGAATTATGAATCTGTACATGCAGCTTGCTGTAGTTAATATATCAAAAGTAACGGCCAAATTCACAAAGTTATTCGGTCTGCATAATAGAGTGTTGCCTATACGATAATTGTAAGCAATTGGACCAGAGCTTAGTGAATAAGACATGACATTACACTTCGAGGGATTCAAATTAAGGTTATTTTCCCGACACCATTCGATAACTCTCAGAAGATTTTCAAATAGCCATTCACAATCTGCGACGTTCTTAATTGTTATGAAAAATTTAAAGTCGTCGGCGTAAATTAATAAATCAACATCACCTACATCCACGATGTCATTCCCGAAAATATTAAACAGCAACGGGCCTAGATTTGATCCCTGAGTAACATCGGAGGTGGCAGAATACTGATCAGACTTAAATTCATTTAATTGAACGTATTGTGTTCTGTTGATGAGATATGATATAAGAAGCCGAATAAGATTGTTTAACAATCCAAAAGAGGCTAGTTTTTTTACCAAAATACCGTGGTCAAGCTAAGTAAATGCCTTTGTCATATCCGTATAAACAACATCTCTCTGAGTTCGGTTGTCAATGTTTTCTGAAATATACTGCGTAATTATGGAGAGATTTGTAACTGTTGAACGACGTTTTACAAAGCCATGTTGCTGGTCCGATATTATGTTGCGGACATGCTGGTAAACTGTACGTTCCAGCAACATTTCAAACACTTTACTAAAATTACAGATGATAGAGATAGGGCGATAGTTTTCCACCTCAGTCCTCAGTTTTATTTCTTTTTTTTATATATGGGACAAACCTTAGACTTTTTCCACACTGACGTTATTCTTTTAGTCCGGATGCAGGTATTTATAAGTACAGTTAAAGGATGAGCCAGTGCTACAGCACAGTCTATTAAAAGAAAAGCAGAAATATGGTCAGGATCAGTAGTCCGCTTGGGCTTTACTGATTTCTAAAAAAGGTAGCAAAGCCATTTAATATATCCGATGGATTAAGAAGAAAGTTACCTTCATAGATTATGGTATTACCAACTTTATTGGAGCATTTTATATTATTGATGTAAGCCCAGAATTTATTGGAATTAATCGATATTTCTGATTCAGCTTTTTCAAGATACTGTTTATAGGCTCCATCGACATCAACTTTAACTTGACTTCTTATGCGTCTAAACTCCTCAAAAGCATGAATATCATTCTCTCTCTCTCGTATACTGTTGACAGTTTGGAATTTTTGCGAATTAAATTTATAATTCCGCCAGTATACCAGGGAGGATAATTTTTCTTAATGTGGCCTATATACCTAGGTACACATTTATCTAACATATTGTATAATTTCCCATAAAACAGTGGTCGCCAACCTCTCAATGTGTTAAGCTACTTTGTTAATTTTGGAATAAACAGCGAGCTACCCACACGGAAGCCACGTAACGCAACGTAAATGAAATAATCCACAGTTAATTTATCATTATATGTATTTATTTTACTATTTAACTGGTAATACATAATACATAGGTACTAATAATAAACTAATAACAAAATAACTAATATTACTAGTACGTACTTGTTCATAGCTACATTCCTACCTACCAAACGAAGGTGTTTGGAAAATAAACACAAACTTTTATCAAGCCACAACGGCATGTCACGTAAGATTTAAAAATAGTTAATAATAACAAAAAAGTAACGCACTATCATGAACATAAACATTGAAAAATAAAAAAGCACGTTCAATGAGAAGGCTGACACTCAGACTCATCGATAATTTTTTTAATGTTTGCAGTATAATTTGATACAGCCATTCGAATACAATTATCCAAATGTTCATCTGTAAGTCGATTGCGATATTTGTTCTTAATAAACTTCATATTGGAAAAAGAAGATTCACACAAATAGGTTGAACTGAATAATGCTTTCACTTTCAAGGCAACACGGCATAGAGCTGAATATTTGTCTTTACTTACAATAGATACATTTGGTACTTGAGACTAACAATTTTAAGGCTAAATCATTTTGAAACTCAATTACTTCAATTTCTGTTGCAGCGATGTCTTCGTCAAAATTCTGCATAACACAAGTTGCAAACTGTTGGATATCAATTTCCATAAAGGGTGAAACAACAAACTGCGCTACTAAAGCCATTTCGTTGAAATCCTTAAAACGATTTTTGAAGTTATTCTTCAGGGTAGAAACTATTTCTACATGATATTTGCTGTCATAGGGTTCTAATGCAGTGGTATCAGAGAAATTGCGGAAAACTTTCATCTTTACGACATAACGTCACCAGACCCTTATCACAACCCACCATAGCTGGAGCGCTATCGGTTGTCAAGCCTACCATTTTCGATATTGGAATTTTCTCGAAAGAAATATTTTTTAAATAAGAAAACAACTCCTGTCCAGTAGTGTGTCCTTTCAGTGGAATAAACTTCAAAAGATCTTCTTTAATCGTAAAATCACTAAAAACCATCCTGACGAACACAACCATCTGGGCAGTGTCAACGACATCTGTTGATTCATCCAGTTGAAGTGAAAAATAAACACAGTTATTTAAGTCAGTTCTTAACTGTAAAAAAATATCATTGCTCATTACTTCTACACGTCTCATCACTGTATTAGCAGAAAGTTGCATAGATTTTATAGTTGAAACTATCTCGTCTTTATTTCTAAAGTTGGCAAATAACGAATCAGCAGCTTCTAAAAACGCCTGTTTTATCATTTCCCCGTCTATATATATATATATATATATATATACTGTTTTATAAATGTTCAGTGATAAGTTATTTATGCCTATTTTTGATAATTCTCATCTCTTTGTGATAACTCTTTCTTTAACAATATCCCATGTGTTGCTTTCTAACAATGGAACTGTGTTATTTGCATAAAAAATGGTTACACCCTCAATATCTAAATGTAATAATGAATTAAAGTTAACCATAAATAATAAATAGGGTTACGTATATTTCGCATCTAAAAAACCGAAATTTCGCATAAATGTAAATAAAAAATCCAAAATTTCGCATTTATTCGCATAAAAAAAAAGAAAAATATTTAAAAACTCGTATTTATTACTATAATCATTAAAATAACATTATATTTATTACATAAAAGTTAGTTAAAAGCTAACATCGTGGTTGTCTCTATATTGTCTTGCTTAATAATTATGCCTTTTCCTTTGGTCATTTATGAGGACATTGTAGATACTGAAATATATTTCAGCATCTACACTGTTGATTGGGCTATGAAGACTTTGTATAGCTGCATTCGCGACCTTCAGGTAGCAACATTTTGATGCAAGTAAAGGAGTTTCTTTCTGAACCACATTGACGAGTTGTCTATGAAAATGAGCATATCCACTTAAGGTTCATCCTGTGGTATATCCCTAAAAAATGGTATTCTGGAGATGTTCTCCAGTGTTGAGTTAGTGTCCAGAGATGAAGTGGTCACGGCCGCTGCTACTAATGAGCAAAATAATTTGCCAATGTGCAGGTAGGAATCGTTTGTTCTCATATGTAAAGACAATTTATCCAAGCTCGTAATATTAGAAAATTCACGTGTTTATTGCCTTTAAAAATGTTTTTCTTCGAAATTTCGACGAAAAATTATTAAATACACAAAATATTATATTTTGTATTTATCGCATAAATTACGTGAATTTCGCATCTATCGCTTCTATTTCGTAAAAACGAAAATTACGTACCTCTAATAATAAAGGATCCAGGAATGTTCCCTGTGGACCTCCTATTTTTATTCTAACCATATAACTATGTTCATTCCTTATTTTTACTACGTGTTTTCTTTAATTTAAATAGTTTTCAGACTCGTTAACACTTCCCCTCATTTAATAACTTCCAAGAATTTTTTTTTTTTATTTGGTGTCATCAGCATCAACTACTACGGTTATTAGCCTCGTGTTCTATGTAGACTTTGTTACTGTTTCCCAGCGCCACTTTAGGAACAGCACTGTTAATTAGAACCCAACAGTAAATGGTCGAGTGGGGAATCCTACCTAGACATCAGAATTAATTTTTAAATAATTAAATTAAATGAAAAAATCTCGGCCAACGGTTTGAAGAACTGGAATTAAGGAAATTGAGTTTGCGAGTGCTGGGTAATTTATATTAGTTTTATTTGTTTTTTTTTTTTTTTTAAATATTTATTAATGTGAGGAACAATATTATAAAGAAAAATATACATATTAAATTATATGGTATAAGTCAGAAGCCAGGATAATCGGTACTGGTTTGATGACCTACAAAGTGCAGCTATCCTTTTGGCCATGTTTATTTATTTATGGGCCTTGCCCACTTTCAGTACAAAGTTACAAATAAAAACAAAAAAAAAAACAACCTGAAATAGATAGAGTCAATCTAAATAATATGTCATAATAATGATAAACTAACAACAAAAATCATAAATATATTAACATGTACCAAATCAAAACAACTAATATTAAGACTAGGGAATTTAAGTCACAGTAAGTTTTAACACCCTCACAAAATTAGAAAAGCTTGAAATAAAAAAATTGACTGCCAGCACAAGCATTAGCGCTTCGTGAAACTCTAGACATGAATGAATTGAGGCCAGTATTAGTTCTCATGTAGGGCTGATAAAAACTGTTTATTGATCTTATGCTTCTAGTTGGGACTGCCAACAACATGCTTGAAATCAATGTAGGGCAGTCAACCACATAATTAATGTCAGATCTGCCTGATCTCTTCTTATTCCCAAAGTTGGTAAAGAGAAAGTCTCTTGCAGTGTAGCAAAATCATAGGAATAGTCATATATCCTTGCAATATTTGATGTAAATGCTAAGTAGTGAAGAAATTTTCTCTGAACCTGTTCTAATCTATGAATGTGACAAGTATACTGGGGGTTCTAGACTGAAGAGCAATATTCTAGCAGAGGCCTAACAAGACTACAGTACAATAACCTGATAGGCATTAATACTTATAAAGTCTGATGTGTTTCTCTTTATAAACCCAAGAATACTATTGTGTCAATGTGATTGACAAATGAGAGCCTGGAGTCCATAATAACACCCAGATCTCGAATGGATGCAACTTGGGACACTGGTGTATCTTGATATTATATTGAAAATCAATCCTGTTGATCTTCCTAGTAAAGGATATCCAGTGACACTTAATTATGTTTAGGTCCATAGCATTATTCGCACACCACTCATTAAGCCTAACCAGATCAGAATAAAGTTTGAGAAAATCCTCAAGAGATTAAACTTTAGATAATCAGTAAAGCATCAAAATTTGGCAAACTTGAAACATTCTGAGATATCATTTAAAAATAATAAAAATAACAAAGGTCCCAAAAGGGACCCCTGGTGGACTCCAGATGGATTGGGAATGTGTGTCATATAAATAACTTGCCAGCCATTGCAATAATGTTCCCATGGTCCCAGCAGTCTCCAGTTTATTTAAGAAAAGTTTGTGATTGACCCTGTCGAACGCCTTGGAAAAGTCTGTGTATATGGCATGCAATCTTACTTGTCAAAAATATGTGTTGCTAGCAATTTTTTTATCATTCACATCAGACATTTATTTTTTCCATTTGTATGTAGCTTCTTTTATTATATCATATACTTTTTTACGTCAAATTTACTGTTTTCAATTTGATTTATGTAATAAGGATTTTTAGCATTTATAATAATTATTTTATTTAAACAGCTACTGTACCTATAGTTTATATTAAGTATTAATTTTGTTTTTTAAGAGTTGTTTCTTCATCTTGTTTTTGTGTTTTATAGTAGTTATAGTTGCACATTATTTTTTTTATTTATTAATTTGTAAATATTTCAAAGAACTTTTGTTATGGTGTGATAGGATCATTTGTAAAAATTATTTCTTTCCAGTGTAGTTTTGATGATTAGGCTTATTTTATTTCTGAATTAGTTTTAGTGACATTGTCTATACTTTTTATACACAAATAGTCTGTTATGTCCATTACCACTACTTTTGTAAGATATTTTGTTTCTTCAGTATTGTTATTTCTTACAAATATATGATCATTACAAGAACTACTTTCTCTATAAACTCTAGTGTATGACTTAATATAGGATTTATAATCTATATACTAAGTAATTGTTTGTTATGAAGGTTATCTGATCAAGAATGTTGTTAATGTAGTCTCCAACAAAAATATCAATGCTATCTCTTTTTAGTACATTATACAAATATTATTCAAAATCAGGTGGAAGTACATTATCAGATATACTCGAGGATCTATAACATGGCACGATTCTAAATGATACTTTACCAATACAAAAAGTAGGAATGACTTCTCCCGATCATTTACCACCAGGGTGGTAGAAGCCCACCAAATGGCCACTTCCAAAAAAAAAATGGGGCATCTAGAAACACCTCTTGGTAATGTTATTAACCTGCAGGACTTTCAACTGGGAGGCTGGCTATCCCTAGACACCCCCTAGGGACAACCACCAAGTTTTTGACGAGTTGATAACATGCAGGCTTTGATGAGCTGGGAAGATGGCTGTCACTAGACACCTCTAAGTGGCAACCAGCAGGTTTTTAACAAGTTGAAAGGCAGGTACTATATCTCTCTGGAGGATGCAAAAGTGTTGTGGAGAAACCCACCCTACCCACCTTACAGATACAGAATACAAAAAGTAAGTGAACTAATTGTTAATTTGACTCTGATAGTATTAAAAATATATCATGTTTTTTTGTCTTATTTTAATAATTATTGTAAACCTACCTCAGGTGAATCAAAAGGGTATTTATTACTAAATTTAAATTGTAGTTGGAATCTTTCTCCTTCATAAAGTGTCCCTGCAGCACCTTCCATGTTTATGATCCAACTGAAAAATAGGATTTGTCAGACCTAAACCATCAATATGTATAACAGGTAATTTGAATAACAGAGGTCACAATAAATGATAAACATTGTTTGAATTACACTAAATCCAAAGATGAATCACTGCTATTTGAAGATTAATTACCAAACATTGATAAAAAAAATGATAACTGAAACTAATCTTTAAAATTCCGGGTACAGTTCCGTTTTTGTTATTCATCTACGAATATATCAAAAAGAACCTTATCTGTCTGTTGATTAACATTTTATTATTTCCTTTATCTACTCTGCCATATGCAAAAATATACTAAAAATCAATTTTTTACTCACTGCAATAGGTTTTGTTCAGCGATATTCGCGTCAACTGCAACTCCAGGTGGAGGCTCCTTAATCAGGGACATCAACTCTTTTTGCAATCTCCTCTACAACAATAATACTATACAAAATGTTACCTTAATTAGTAATTAAACAATCTTATTGACAATCTGGTTTACGATGTACTCAATTACAAAACAATTACTAATAGTATGCAATTAAAATAAAATGAATCAATTCTATTAAAAGGACAATAAAAAAAGTGAACAAATAAAAAAATTACCTCTGATGGCGACATTCCTGCCATTTTGAGATTACAGTTTCATTCCGCAAATGTTATTTTTAATTTAGTGGCACTCAAATAAAAGCAATTTATTTAGACTTAGGTAAAAAACATTGATGAGAATGTATAAAAATGTCAAACTTATGAGATTTTGGAAACAACAAAAATAGTGTATTTGTCACTGTCACCTTGAAGTTAGGTCCGAAATACAAATCTCCTCTTGTTGAGTGGCACAGAACGTTGCCAGATCCTAACATAAAACAAAGAAAGTAGAGAAATATTTTTAAAATATTTCAAAAAGTTTCTTACTACTACTTTTTAACACTTCTCTCCACGTTTCCGATTTTTAGAGTCTTAAAATGCAAACAATTCATCTGATCGTCTTTATCCGGACCCCGCACAATAACTCTAGAACCGAAGGTCCGATCGACTTTATTTTCTTGGACAAAGTGTCTAACTTAGAACCTATTGATTTTCAGAATTTTCGGTTAAACCTATGTTAAATATATCGATGATTATAAAATCCAATGCATTTCCTTAGGACCGATTCCACCGTTGAATTAAACGAAGTGTAAAATTACATTTTTACGTTAACAATGTCATTTTAATCTCCGTTTAACACAACAGTGGAATCGCCCCTAATAGAGCTTATTTCTATTGATCTACGGCAAATATACGAACTATTAAAAATTTGACACGTGCCTACTAAATTAGAATTTTGAAACATTGAGTCGTTACAAATTATCTAAGTATATGCAAACTCTTTTATATTGATTTAGGGCCGATTCCACCATTGTGTTAAACGCAGATTAAAATGACATTGTTAATGTAAAAATGTCATTTTAAACTTCGTTTAACACAACGGTGGAATTGGTCCTTAGAAGCAAATTTCTACATCATTCATATTTTAGCTACATACAAGTTTATTACTACTTTTTTAACTAAAAATAAACGGATAATTAAAAAAAATACTGTCTTCCTACACCATGTCAAAAGATGACTTGAGAAGAATTTAGAGAGCCAAGAAAAGATGATAATTTGTGTGTTATGATCGGAGTCTCAATCTGATTACTTCAAGTTTACGAATTCAAGGGACATCAATACGTATATGTGTGAGGTGGCCTAATTGGTTAGCGCGCAGACGGCCCAGGTCCGAGGTTCCAGGTTCGACTCCTGACGCATTTTTTCTTTTTTTAATTCTCAGATTTTTCAATTTTTCTTTGGTTTGTTTTCACTTTGGGGATATATGAGGGTGTGATTTTCATAATTTCGTAGGAGGATTTAACGATTTTTCATTCTCAGAATTTTCCTGTTTTCCTAAGTTTAATAAAAAGCCCCAAAAAGAGACAACACGAAAAGTTATAATTTTTATCGTGATTAAATTAGATTAAACAAATACTAAAAATTTTTGAGTCACATGCTTTTGTCCTGCACAGAAATTGGGCAAATACAGAAACAAAGTATATATAAATCGTTTATTTAGTCAAAAAAAACTATTTTTGACATGTCAAAGCATCTTCACATTTAAAATATAAAAAAATACACATAAGTATAGAATCAAAACATACATTTAAAATACAATAAAAAATTCATAAGATACAGTACACTTACATGTCAACTATACAAAACAAAAGAACAAGAAAAAAAAAGTCAATGGGTCAGCAAGTACTCACGCAGTTTTCTTTTAAATATTGCTGTAAAGAACATTTAATATCTTCAGGCAAATTATTAAAAGCCTGTACACCTTTAAAAACACTGAATTTTGTGTACATTTTTCGTGGCCTTATATAAACTCTAAAATTTTTCTTATTTCATGTATTGTGTTCATGAACAACCTGATTATAACTTAAAATATTTTGTAAATATACTGGGGAGATTCCTGATTTAATCTTAAACATAAATAGCACTGCGATTCTACATTTAATTTTTTTTAAATTTCCAGTACCCCCAATTAGCATCCACTTTGTCTTTTCGTAATTTGGTGATGGAAATACATCCAACATATACGTCTACTGTTAAATATGAAGCCAACCCTGTATTTAAATTAACTTAAAATTATCGAATTTTTTTCATGTTAATTACGTTACTGTCTTTTGGTCTTACGTTTAAAATCAAAACGTTTACCGTTCTTTTTTATGCCAGTAAAGTTTGCTGTTGGGGCCTCAGTCTCGATAAATCATCAATTTTATTAGCGTTTCTCGAATATCAAATTGTTACGAGTTGGCAACGTTGGTAAACATTTCATCTTCTGTCAATTATTATTTTAAAGTGATTCTTCTTCTGATTTGTAAAGCCCTCTTGCCATGAGGTATACAAAAACAGCTTAATTTTTGTACGAGCCGAAAAAAGCGATGACAATTGACAATATAAGAAAGAAGAGAAAGACAGGTTAAAAATTTATCACGTGTAGGTTATGTTTTAAACAGACACATTTTCAAATAAAAAATACAAAATAGTGTTTAAAAAATGTCTTCAGAAGAAATGGAAGTTGCAGAAAGCAACGAAAGCGACGATGAGGAAATGAATGAAAACAAAGAAACCTCAACAGAACCATCTAAAGAAGTTTATTTACCGAGTAAACCCTTAGACGAAGGTGAAGAACTTGTATGTGATAAATCTGTGTATGTAATGTACCACCAAGCTACAACGAGTAGCCCTTGCCTTAGTTTCGATACAATTCAAGATAATTTAGGGAATAATAGAGAGAGCTTTCCACTAACGGCATATTTGGTTGCTGGTACACAAGCACCAGTAACTCATACAAATAATGTGATAGTTATGAAACTTTCAAATATGCATAAAACCGGTAAAGAAGACAATGAAGATGAATCGGATGAAGACAACGAAGAAGAGGAAGATGAGGAAAAGAAACCAAAAATGGCAGGTGCTTTAATAAAACACCAGGGTACTGTAAACAGAATTAGGGTAAGTTAATCTACTTTTATGAAAACAACACAAATACATTAGTATTGTTTTTTAGAGTCTTAGAATAGGGGAGACAGTTATTGCGGCGTCTTGGAGTGAATTAGGAAGAGTAAATATATGGGACATAACTAAGCAACTGCAGTCTGTAGATAATGATTTGAATTTAGCTACCTACAATAAAGAACAGGCAAATTCGGTGAAACCTATATTTACATTTACAGGTCATCAGAAAGAAGGATTTGCCATGGACTGGTGTCCCACTGTACCTGGGGTAAGCCTTTCCTATTTTATCCACAATTTTTATCTTCTCAGTTAGTCATGAAATAAATAAAATATATTTTAGACGCTGGCAACTGGAGATTGCAAGAGAGACATACATATTTGGAAACCAAATAATAATATGGCTGGTTGGACAGTTGATCAAAGACCACTAGTCGGCCATACAGATTCAGTAGAAGATATACAATGGTCGCCTAATGAAAAAAGCGTTTTAGCTTCATGTTCAGTGGATAAAAGCATCAGGGTATGGGACGTTAGAGCTCCGCCCAGTAAAGCTTGCATGCTCTCAGCAGATCAGGCGCATGAATCTGACGTTAATGTTATTAATTGGAATAAAAATGAACCTTTTATTGTCAGTGGTAAGAAAATTTGATATAAATATAGAAAGTGTATGTAATAAAAATGGTTTTGTTATGACTAGGTGGTGATGATGGTGTCCTGCATATATGGGACTTGAGAAAATTCAAAGATAAAACTCCTTTAGCCACTTTCAAGCACCACACTGAACCTGTTGTCAGTATAGAGTGGCACCCAACAGATTCTGCAGTTTTTGCTTCTGCTGGTGCTGACAATCAAATTGCTTTATGGGATTTGTCTGTAGAAAAAGATGCAGAACAGAGTAATAATGAAGTGGAGGTAATATTTTTTTTGAATCTAATTTAAAATTCTTGACACTATATTCATTTTTGTTGTAGGGTTTGCCGCCACAGCTTTTATTTATCCATCAAGGTCAAACTAATGTTAAAGAACTCCATTGGCATCCACAGTTACCTGGTGTCATTATCAGCACAGCCGAAAGTGGTTTTAATATATTTAGGACGATAAGTGTTTAAAAAATAAATTTAAAAAGGGCTCTTTTATTTTGTATCAAAAAATCTGGTTATTTTGTTAGCCTCTACAGATTCTTCAACAGTATCTGAATCCCATGTGATTAAATTTATGCTATCATTATCACTAAGAACAGCCATTTTTATTAAATGTCTTGCAGATCACATGGAATACAGGCATTGTTAAAGACTCAACTCCTCATATATCCTATTTTTCCAAAAAAAAAACTTTTATTCCTTGTTATATTCCCAAAATTCTAACTCAAAACCACAAAAGGTACCATATGTATTTTTTAATGAAAAAACTTTAAAAGAGAAAATAAAAATATTTATTCTTATATTTCAAAAATAAAAACTTAATATTTAAGTATCTCCACTCAGTAAACTCAAATTTACTAAATGCCGCATCGTGGGCCTGCCGTGTGGACAATTCTGCAAAACAAACGGGAATTTCAAATGGAATTACCTGGAAAAAATTACACAAAACCTTACCCAAGGTTGATCAATCTGCCCCATGTGTTCCACTAATTTTTTCATATCCTTTTTGCTTAAATCTGTGCCTATCATGACTGATTTTCTGCAAGCGCGTGATGCAAACATCCTCTTCAGTTTACTTGGAACGCATATGGTATTACTAGATTCCTTAAAAATAGAAGAATCAAAAATTTAATTATTCAAGACTTATTTGCTGATGAAGTTACTTGCAACATTAACAGCATTTCGTCAATATCGTCTTTGGAAAAAACGAAATTCCTGCTGATAGGGATAGATGTTAAGGCCACCTTTTTTGTACATGGTGCTGAAAATATAAAACATTGAATTATTTAAAAAAGTTTATGCATGGAGTATGAAATGAATCTTAAGCTACAGAAAACATGTCAAAAAACGTAAATAATAAAGAAAAAGGTATAAGAAATACTAAAATTAATATTACCAAAGGAGGTGTATATTATTCAGGATCATGGAAACATAATATTCAGAAAGAAAACAAAGTATGTTTTAACGTATTCTAATAAATAAAAATTAAAAATATTACTTGGAATTATTACAATTTGTTAAAATTGAAACATTTAACACTCGCTAAAATTGCTATTATTGCATACATTATTCCAAAGGCTAATTTTTAAGTATGAATTATAGAATGTTTTTAACATCCTTTAAATTTTAACATATTCCTTATAGAATTGCCCCAATGAAAATTACTGAAAAATGCTCACCTGCAGCATCTATTTTAAAAGAGAAACCATTTTTCTTGAATACATCAATATTTTCAATCAAAAGACACTCATTCCCCGCAGTCAGTTCCAATGGTTTAGGACTAAAAAACAATAAGATAGACATTTCTAAAACAAAAACAACCTTTACTTACTTTACCAATACCTGCGAATCCACGACTGTGTTCAACTGGAGCATTTCAAAATTATATTTTTCGTCGCTAGCGTGTTGGTCTATCAAAAACAAATCGTCTTTCAATTTAGTTACGATAAATCCTTTATTAAACTGTCCTATTACCGTCATTTCGGAAAAATCCGATTTTTTTATTTGCTTTTGCAACTCTTCTTCAGCCGATTTATTTTGATCAGTCTTAATTTCAGATCTAAACCTAATTTTTATATTTTCACCTACACCTTCCTTACTAGCATCATTGCATTTTTTTATTTGTTCAATAGATATTTTAAACGGGACAGATTTTAGCGATTTTTTAAATTTCGGTTGATCCAAACTGATTTCTAGATCTTCCGGTTTGAATTTTGCCGATTCTACATCGATAACATTGTCATTATCTTTATCATCTTTAATTAGCTGACAAGCCATTTCTATCAGACTGTCTAATTTTTCTTGGGATTCATCTAAAATGCTTTTATCTATTTTAATTTGGTCAAAATTGTCTGTAGATCCGTTATTAAACGTTTCTTTAGGTTTGTTTAAGAAATCTTTTATATCAATTTTGTTTGTAGATGAGTTACCAGTTGTTTTCGGTTTCTTTTTGAAAATCTCCAAAATGCGCCCTTTCTGTATACAGCTTTCTGTGATACTTCTTTTAATGCCTCTATCGCTCTGTATAAAATTCGTTATTTCTACATTTTGCATCTTGAATGTAGAAGGAAACTGCTTAAAAGCTGCCAGTAACGACGATTTAACTACAGCCAATAATAATTTTTCGTTTTCTATGAACACCTGTCGCTTATCTGGAGTTATATTTACATCGATCAAAGCGGATTTTGTAGTAACATTCAAATACACGAATGGGTACTCATTAGAATTGAATTGTTTATAAATTTCGTTAACAATTTTCATCAATTTTGATGGTTCGCAGGGTCTGGAATTTATAAAATAAAATTGTCTGTCTGCCACTCTTCTACCAGACCCGTGAATAACGCTGGATATTAGGAATTCGAAAGAAAACGGAACTGATGAATCTGGGCTTGATTTTATTCCGAATTCCGCCAAAACTTCTTCATTTGGCGGCATTAAATCTATGTCTATTAAAGTTGAAATTTGTTTGGGGCCGAAAACGTTAATGATGTTTTCCCTGACCATGTTTTGACCGTCGGTACTCACTATGGTGCTTTTTGAGCCTTTATCGGTTGTGTTGGAACATGTAAACCTGAAAAGTATGTGGTGTATAATGTTACATCTCTGGTCTCTTTAATCTAAGGTTTACATATTGATGGCTTTGCACATATGTTTTAAGTATTATAAATGTTTTAAGTTAAATAGGTTAGCATATAGAAGAGATCTTTAAGGTATAATTAACACTGTGTGGCAGGATCCAAATGTCTTGTGTGATCAAATAGTGAGAACAGTCCAAAGCAATACCACCTGTAGGACTAAAAGTTGTCCATGGTTTAACATTCATTTGCATAACCTAATCAAGCACAGAGACACGTGTTATAAAAGGCATAAGTTTTTTCCCAATAGTACTCTGCTTCACAGTGAATACAAGAACAATCAAACTCTCTTGAAAGCAGCTATATTCAATGCAAAAAAACAATATTATCACAATCAGCTAACAAGTGCCCTAGGTAATCCAAAAAAAATATGGGCAGTTTTAAACTTGTTAATTCATAATAAAATATCAAAGCAACAAAACAGTGAATAAACTGCAAGTAGAAAATGACTGTAGAAGTTCCTAAGAAAATTGCAGATATTCTTAACACCTTTTTTACAGAAATAGGTAAAGCCTTAGCAGATAATATACCGGAGTCTACTTACACGAAATCTACAGTTATAAACCGTCAACAACTATATCAATGGGAGTTAACTACTCCTCAAGAAATTAACAAAGTAATTTCAGAGTTAAAATCGAGAAAAGCCTGTGGTGCTGATGGTATCTCTGGGGACTTGATCAAACATTTCAAAAACGAAACTTAACGAAACTTAACTTTCACTAATGCTTAAATTTCCAATGGACTAAAAGTAGCTAAAGTTTTACCATTATTTAAAGGAGGGCTAAGAACTTCCATTAATAACTACCGACCGATATCTCTATTAAGTTCTATCACCAAAGTCCTGGAAAAATGTATTAACCTATCTTGAAAAAAAGACTTTTAGTTTTCGTAGTGGAAGTAGCACAACGTCGGCAGTCACAGATATGATTACCAACATCAGACATCATGTAGATGAAGGCAATGCATTTATCATTGTTTCACTTGATTTAAAGAAGGCGTTTGATACTGTTAATCACTCAGTACTGGTATCTATTTTGGAAGACTATGAAATAACAGGAAATACATTGTCTTTCTTCAGAGATTATTTCAATGGTCATACACAGTTTGTAGTAATGGAAATACCTAAAGTAAAATGGCTGATCTACAATATGGTGTACCCCAGGGGTCAATTCTTGGACAAACGATATTCCTGATATATATACTCCATAGCTCAGCTACCATTAGCTGGTTATTTGCAACTTTATGTTGACGACGCTTGTCTCATTTATTTTGGAAAATATACAGACAAAATAAAGTATATATTATAGAGCAAGATCTAATTCAAATTCTTGAGTGGTTGAAGTTTCATAAATTAACCCTGAATACTGAAAAGTCAAGTTTTTTAATGATATCGAAACAGCCTGAATGGAAACAATTCCAAATAAATGTAGACAATGAACAGTTGACTAAGACAGATTGCATTGAATATCTTGGCTTATACATAGATTCCAAGCTCAACTGGGAACATCATATTGCTCAATTATGTAAAAAAATAGTCCTGCCATTGGAGTATTGGGACGTGTTTCCTGCTACCTTTCAGCTGACTTAAGGAAGACTCTGTATCATTCACGAATTCATTCACATCTATCATATTTAACTCTCCCAAAATAGACTAAAACCCTTGCAAATTCTACAGAATAGAGCAATCAGAAAAGCTTTTCAACTTTCTTTTTGTCATCCTAGTGATATTTTGTATCATCCAAATAATATTCTAGACATTCAGTCCCTCTCATCTAAATATCAGACATGCATTTTTATTCATAACCTATCTCTCAATAATATACACTCATCCATACAACTGACTATTGTAAACGCAAAATATGAAGAACCAGCGCAAATGCTCAAGTTCGTTTACTTCAAAATCGCCACGCCCATTCACAATTTGAACCTTGTCCTTGCTTACGGTCAGTAGCGTAACGACTAGATTATTGTTTGTTTCGTGTTTCTGTGTTTTGGTTAAAGTGACTGGTTTTATTTTTGATAATGTCTTCTATTGTGGGCTGTTATTAACGGACAAAGTCGTGAAGTAATATACAATGTTTTTAAATATTTTGATGCAACAAAAAAGGAAGGAGTTACTTTAGATGATATCAAACTACACAAGTAACAGGTAAACATACTCTGTAGTTTATTTGCAATTAAACTTGTGTAGTTTTCCATATTTTTTTGTATTTTATACACATATATGTGCATTTTATTTTTGATTAATATTTTATATTTAAATTTTTAAAATTTATCTTTTGTTTCTAAAAATTTTTGTTTCCTAATAAATATAAAAAAAATATTAAATTTAACATTAATATAATTGAAAAAATACCGGTGTTACTTCCGAATATTTCTTTGGTAAAAATGTTCTGTAGCATATGTCGCTGGTGTTAGAAGAATTGGGTTATTTTGTAGAAATAACTAACGAGTCATAGGTAGTAGAAAAAGAAGTGTTTTTAATTTACTATTTTCACTGAAGTAAATACATAGTGGTTGATTCCATTTAGATATAATTTTCTTATCTTCACTAAACAGTTTTAAATATTTACAATTTTAGATCATCACAATTTTATTAACTAATACAGTTGATTTTTTAGTTACCAACTTGAAAACATTTGTTTGTAGAATTTCTTATGCCATAATAATTGTAGAAGATATAACTTTCACCAGAAAATAAACTGCATTAAACGCTTGTAAAAATGTCGAAAGTAACGTGCCGTCGGCAGAAGCACCTGGCAAAGACAACTGTGAGCGATGATGGCAAAAAATCAACTGAACTCGTTTGTGGCAATAAGACAACTACTGAATGATGGCAAACATACAACTGTACTCCTCGCGTCGAGCTCACCCAAATATATACTGTTGGGACGCAATGAGTGTCCGGGGCATAGTTCACGCACCTATTCGGTTTCAACCAATGAAAACATCATGACATAATGAAATACGTCATTTGTGCTTCGTTAACTATGCGCCGGACACTCATTTTGTTCCAATGCACCGCTGTGCACTTAAAAACACAGGTGTTCGACGTTCGGTATTCTGAGAAAAATGCTATTTATAGTTTTATGACTTCACATTATATTAGGGTAAAAAGCAGCCGAACTATTTGAGAATTGTTTATTTATTTAGTAGGTGTAAAATATTAATTTGTTGATGTTTTTACTGGTGAAATTGTAGAATTTAACCAATAATATTACGTTTTTACAGGTTTCTTATACTACCGTTAAAAGAATTTTGAAGGAAGGTAAACAGTCAATGGAAACAACTGGAAAAATTACATTTTCTACACCTAGGAAAAACTTCATCAAAAAATTAACCGCTACGAATCTCCCTGAATATCAATTGAGGGATATTCAAAGAATAATTTACGATTTTCATGTAACAGAAAAGCCTCGTGTTACTGTTAAAAGGTTAAATAATAAAATTAAGGAAGATTTAGATATCCACATATCAGAAACTTCATTAAGAAGAGTCCTTAAAAAATTACAATTTAAATGGAGAAACACATAATAATCGTAAAGTTACCCCCATATCACCCCGACTTGAACCCTATCGAATTGATTTGGGCAATTGTTAAGAATAATGTCAGTCAAAGGAATGTTACCTTTAAATTAGAAGACATAAAACAATTAGCAGAAGAAGAATTTAACAAAATCGGTATGTTATAAAGGTAGAAGATAAATATTTTGAAAGAGAAATACAAACTGATTTATGTTCGAAAATTAATCCTATCGCCATTAATCCTAATGAGGATTGCAGTGATTTGAATAAGGATAATTTCCTGACCGTAACAGAATTTTATATAAATACCGAACGGAAAGTGGTAGAACAGCCTTAACCCAAAGTCGGCTTACTTAAAAATAATGATTTTTTAATTGACTATAGAATTATGTACTAATAATAACACTAAGCAATATGTATGAACAAGTATCATTCACTATTTTCCATTTATTTTATGTCTTAAAATATACGCGCCACTGGTTTACAACTTTCTAGGTAAGCTACCAATTCTATTCATCGGTAGGCATGTTCGTAGCATTATAAATGCGCATCCTTGGTTCTTTAGATTTGGCGCTTACTGTACTTCCTATGATATCCATAGATATAATACTTGGAATAATGACTGCTTCAGAGCCACAGCCGTAAGAACATGCTTTGATGACCAAAGCATACTATCTGATGGTCTAAGACAATACAATGAGCTTCCTAGCACCATAAGGAACATAACGACTGACCTCTTTAAAAAAAAACTAAAAGCTCACTTTGATATAATTTTCTTAGTTGATATCTTCATGTTTAAATAGGGTTTAAGTAATATTGTGATATTAAATTACTGTATTTTTTTTTTAATTATCATTAGTTATTTTGTAGTAGTATTGTTGTTATTATAACTAAGCAGGTACCGAATTCTTCTTCTGTGATATTATAAAATTTGTACCTTGTAAGACCCACATAGTCTTAAGCTCTGGGTCTAAATATACCAAATGGTATTCTTTTTTTTTATAAACTTGATGGAACCTTAAAGTAACAATTTGCTAATATTTCACAATTTAAATTTATAAGTTTGAAGCTATAGGTCTGTTATTTCACATGAAATGTATCTACTGAACCCTTTCAACACTTCTTCATTGTTTTTGATTAAATAATAAAGCAAAATAAAGATAAATTATTTGTAGATATATGCATTTAACACAATTTGTCCTAAAAATGCACTTAATACATGTGTGTATATACAAAAGGTCTGAATTTCAACACTACTTCTTAAATATTTAAAAAAGTTGTTAAATACTTAATCTTTTTAAAATAATATAAAATAAATAAACCACATTCATATTAATTTAAACTTACTTTACACCTTTGGACACCAAACAATAAGCGTACAACATCTGACACATTTTGTTGAATTCCTTTTTCAAATTTTTTGTAAATTCTTTTCTTCTTACTGGTAAGCTAGAAAATAATTTACATAGAGTGACAGTCGTACCCTTTTCTCTTGCAACGGGGGTCGTACTGACGATTTTCCCATTATTATCATAAGTAATTTTGGTTGCAATATCGAGAGAACTGTGTCTGGTGGTTATTACTAAATCAGACAAAGCGCATAGAGAGCTTAGGGCTTCTCCTCTGAATCCGAGCGTCTCTAAATATTGTAAATCGTTAAATTCTTTTATTTTCGACGTATAATGCTTCAAGGCTAAAATTAAATTATATAAAGTAGAATATGTTATCAAACTTGTTTGGTATGTTTAATACTTAGAGATTCGAAATTTGCAGGTAATACCCCGGATCCGTTATCACATACTTCAAGAAGTTCTGAGCCATATTCCTTTAAATGGACGTCTATAATTGTTGCTCCGGCATCTAACGAATTTTCTACTAGTTCTTTCATGGCAACAGACAGACTTAAAACAACCTAATAATTAATTAGAATAATAAAATATCTAGCTAATAGTACTAAGATAAGTAAATACAATGGATTTACAAATATTCTTTTCTAATGTGATAAATTATGATTTACTTACCTGGCCAGAACATATTCTATGAATTGTGTCTTTATTTATAGGTTTTATAATTTGATTACTGGTACATTCATTACTTTCTGGGAGGTTGTCATTCGTTTCTAAACTATCCATAAGGGTTAATAAATTAAAATATCTATATGTTTATAAATATAAAATTCTGAGCAAACACCAGCAAAAACAAAATCAAAATAGATTTTTCGCATAGGTAAATAAAAACAGTGGTTGTTAATTGGGTTAATCTCGTCTTCTCTCAGTTCTCTGCTGTGAATTGGTCTCGATTGAAATAGTTATGAAGTCCAAATATGTAGGATACATCATTGTATGCAACCAGTATATCGTTAATAACGTATTTCACTTTTGGCATCGATAAGTTGGATTTCAAACAATGTGTGATATGAATTTAGCTCGGAGGCCGTACACTAACCGAAAATGTTTAAAATAAACCATTCACACAATAACACAATAATATTTCTCTATATTATTTAAAAAAAAGTAATTCATTTGAAATTTGATGGAAATCATTACATGATTTTTCCTTGCTGTTTTGTAGCACGTCTTTCAAAAAATCGAATTACCGATATTATAAAAAATTTAAAAACCAGAACAAGTTCAAAAATAAAAATATAAACACCATTAAATAACAATAAAATATTAGATGTTTTAAAAAACTAATGTGTGACCCGAAAATACCGATCAAAGAGAAGCGACAGTAGCTGTCGGTGCCTTTAATATCGGATGGACCTTTTTCACAGCATGACTTTGATTAATACACATTTAATACGCTGAAAAAACATGCTTATTTTCTACACTGAGCGAAATAGTTTGGCAAATTATCTGAAATCATTGTTATAGTCCATGCGCAAATGTAATGTGATTTAATTACATTAAAGTAGTTAGGGTTAATAGCAATGGTAAAATTTCGGCGCCAAAATATAATTCATTATGTTATAAAAGTAAAAGACGTTTATTATTTTAGAATTTATCTATAAAATTTGTTCAATATTTGGTTTATTCATTGTTAAAAATGTAATAAAAGCCCCATATTTAAATTAAATTACCTTTTCCTTAAGTAAAAATAAGGTAAAAATAAAATTAAGGACACCAAAAAAAAAATCTGATGTGTCCAACACATGACTTTCCTATCTAGTTATTACAGGCTTTTTCCGTTTATTTTGTACAACTTATTGCAGCACCTCCATAAATGTTTAGAGGATAAACTAAATATATACATTTTCCACATACATCTACCTCGAAACATTTTTCTATAGATATTCATTGAAAACGAAAATACTAACAAATTTAAATTTAGGACTTTTCCTACAATTTTCCCAATACGGTCCATTTTAGAAATATCATGTATAAATAAAAATTATAAAGATCGATATCGCAAACAACTTTTATTTCAACAATTTTAATAAAAATCAGAATTTTGCACATTTTTTCAAATTTTTCGAATACGGACCATTTCCAGAACATAGATAAATTATCAATGTTTGAGAATCCACATCGGATGCATCTGAGACGTAAAAATCTTTGATCACGTGATTTTTTACATCTCAAGCGTTTTTTTATCCACATCGGACACATCTACTTCATCTAGATCTGCGTTTGTTTATGCCAGATGTACCTGTTCAGATTATATTTTTTACACCTCGATTTGAAATGAGATGTGAATGAGATGTTCGTTCCATGCCAGAAAGTAAGTGTTCTGTGAAGCCTTGTTTGTCAATTTATCCTCCGTTTACGCTAGCATGAATATAAAAGTGATTAGTTTTGTTTAATTTTTGTTTATATTTCAAATTTAGGTTGATTTGTAGTCTCAAAAGTCAAATTTAATAAGTATAAACTTCTAACTTGTCATTGACATTTTATCACGTGACTAAATAAAGTCTAGAGCGTTTGTTTATTACATCTACATTCAGATCTAATTTTTTATCACGTGATAAAAAATTCACAACATCTCAGATGCATCCGATGTGGATTCTCAAACGCGGCAAATGTAATGGGACAGATGTGTCCGATGTGGATAAAAAAACGCTCGAGATGTAAAAAATGCATCCGATGTTGTGGATTCTCAAACGCAGCACAAGTAGGATACTTTCTGTCAACACACTTTTTCATTTCGTGACGTCACTGCGTCCTTAGCAACCGTGAAGAGGCCACCGTGTTGTCTTCGAAACGTGGGAATAAGCGGCTTCAAATGGTGAGTCTTAAGATTTAGCGTTGTCTCTGATTTAGCTAAGAATAATCATCATCATCATCATCATCATCATCATCAGTAAATAAAAATGATCGCTCTTCTAAATTTGAAATTTTAGTAATTTATTCTGAAATAGAGGTGATGTTGCCATATCGGTCAAAATCGGAAATAACAGGAAAAAGTAACGCTTGTATTTAAATTATATTGATAAGATACTGCGTTATTAAATAAAACTTCGTACTAATAAAAATAATTTATATTTATGAAGTTAATAAAAAATAATTTCAACAATTTATAAATGTAAATAGGCACTTATAGTAACATAAAATATTTTAAAACTATATTAAAATTAAAATATATTTAAAATGGTATATTATGCAACGAGCATTTAATGATAGTTATTAAGACACGAGTATGAGAATTACGATACAAGCCTTGGCGAGTGTCTTAAGAGCCATTAAATGTGAGTTGCATACACTATTTTTTCTACGACCATTATATTAAAATAAAGAAAAATAAGTAATTTATTTTCAAAATTTATTAAAATTATAGGGGAAGAAGTAAATAAACATCAAAACTTTATCGCAAACAAACATAGAAATCAATATTTAATAAATAAAGGAAATATTAGAATTATTCATTTCGATACTATTTTTGATATTGTTGATGGTACAATTATTAAAATGCAACTGCGGTACTTCTGGCAGTTTTGTAACAATATTGGTTACCGTTGTTGATGTTGATGGAATAATATTTATTGAATTGCTGGTTTGGCTATATTCAATCGAATCCAAAATTTAATTACCTACGTTGACTTTATTTTGAATAGATACGTCAATGTAGTTTTCAGTTACTGCTGTGGATTTCCATCAACCGTGACGTTTTAGTGTGGTGATATGACCACCGATATCCACCAATATTGTGGCTTTATTTCATTTGTATTAAATGTTTTTAAATTTTTGGGTTTATACCCTTTTAGATTTTCTTTTCAACAAGGCATGTAATTTTGAATATTTGGATATATCCTCTTGATGTTTAATTAAGTCGATTTCAAAATTGAATAATGTGTCCATAAACTTTTAGGTTTTAATTTTCTTGATAAGTCATCAAAATAAACTGTTAATTATTACGTTTTCTGAAAATGTGTTTGCAGTTTTCTTGTCCCTCCAATCCATGAATTGACTATAAGAGGTTTCATATACTTTTGTGGCTTTTGATGGTAATACATTATTTGTGGCTCTTGTGGCCTGTTCCACAATTTCTGGCGGAGTTAGATTATCTAGTTCATTATTGTCACTATACATTTTTTCCGTTTTTATAATTTTCAGTATTTTTACTAACTAAAATCTGAATAAAGTGTCAGACTGATAAATTTTAGATCTGTCAGATGTTCATAGCATATATGATTTTTACCAAATTTTGCTTTGATATTGAATTTCTATTGGCTGTAAACTTGTATCTTAATGAAAATCTGTATCTTAATAAATGCCATTAAAATACAGGCAGTGAATGTCTAATATAGTATATTATATAACAAGAGTAGTAAGAAGCCAATTACAGGCGAGTAGAAAAGTTGCGCACGAGCCGCGTTATCGGCGAGTGCAGTAATTCTACGAGCATGTAATTGCTTTTACAACTCGAGAAATGAACTATACTTTATCTACAACCACAATCATACATTATTAATAACGAATAATAAGGTCAAAATTCACTTTATATGGAAATGACAATTGACATAGTATACATTGCCTAAAATGATGCAGGTTTGAATTGTTCCATAAGTTCCCCAAAATATACCCAAAAGCACATTCTCAAAGAATTAGTTTAGATTGTTTTTATGTCAGTCCATAAGCTTTTGGTATACTATTTCATACATTGCCCATGATTTTAAAGGTTGTAACTTGTTAGTAATATTAGCAGCTTTTTCAAGAATATCAGGAGGAGTTCCTTGAAATTAAGTTTTACTATCTTACAAATTCATTTTATTCTTTAAAAAAAATAATTTTGTATCTACAACAATGGCGATTTTTCTATTTCTGAAATGTCAGAACTGTTTATCGTAACCATGGCGATCACCTAGCAATGAAGTAATATGGCTAGTTTGATAAATGAAACTGTTATGTAATATATATAATTACGTAACAGTATCTGTAATAATGTATTTACTTATAAACAAAACGATATCACAGTTTATTGCTAAAGAATCAGTTGGCTCACTCGGACCAGTTGAATGTTCCAAAATAACATCCACTCTAGGGATACAAATTCAGGATGCGCAGAAGACTGCCGTTTGAATATAGGCGGTTGTCATATATTGTATTGGTTATGATTTGATTCTGTATGCGCCAGGGATACAAATCCGAGTTGCGCAGTGTATAAACTGGAACATTGAGATCAAAAGTGCCGACGCAGAGTGAGCGAACTGATTATTTAGCTATAAACTGTGACGATACATAATAAACGATTTGTTGCAGATAAAATAAATAAAATAATAGGAGTAGAAAAGAAAATATTACAAAAGCTTTTTGTATTGGAAATACGCTACATATGATGACGTTTCTAAAATTAATTATCTTTCATATTTTCTTAAATAAATTTCGTAACAACATTTTACTATGTCTTCTTCTGAAGTTGCAAGAATTTGAACGATTTTGTTGTAAGTATATTTTAAATCTTCGGTTTCCCCATAATTTACAGGTCTTAAAAGTTGCATGACAAGTACATAAAGTGCTGGTGATGTTTTATAGTTTATCATTGAATAAAACAAATTATACCGATCTAATGTACTCATTTTGTTCACACATTTTTGGAAATTATCTTTGAAAATAGCGAAAATTTGGGGCCCTAATTCATTAAGTTGTTCCAAATAATTGACTACAGTTTCAGCGAATTTATCTAAAGGATGATTGCAATATTTAAGCAAAATATATAACGTTATGGATTCGTCTATTAGATCTGTTGTAGAAAAATATTTATTCCAATTATCTACAAAAGTATTTATCAGATTTGAATCTGGTTTAGAGTTGTACATACAATCAACAAA